AGACAATAAATTATGATACTTAAGAATACGGCAGGATTAATACTAGGTAGAATGAGCTCAAGTACGTAAAACAGTTTGGCTTAATAGGCTAAAAGTACTGAGGTAAAGTAGGAGTAAAATAAGTTGGTATTATATTGGTACTGAAGAACGCCATTTGGCGTACAAATTAGATGACAGTTTATTCAGGTTAACTGAAAGAATACAAATTGATCTATATTTAAATAAAATATTTGAATAACTGGTAGGACATACCAAATTTGTGCAAGAGTGTTTTGGGATAGTCCAGAACGGATAAAAATTGATCTCGCCTCGTTCCCAGTTAAAAAGCCTTTTTTAATCTTATCATGCTGATTAAATTGCAATTTATAGCGAGGTCGAGTGTTAGGTGGTATTGACCAATCAGAGTTCTGTTGCCCATTAGAGGCAGGCACTGAAGTCAAGGTATTAAGACTAAGAGCTAAAAACACGCGATAATATATATAAAAAAATTTGCAAAATCTAAATGAAAATCTTGAACCAACTTTGAAGACCTCCTAGAGAAACGCTTGTGGAGAATACAACCTTCGGTTCTCCTTTGAGACTTGCTGGCAGAACGTTGGGAAGGGACATCCCTTCAAGCTTCTTTTTAACCAATAACATTGCAATAGAAAATTCCTTTTTATCCATTTTTCCATCGCCAGTAATGTCAGCGAGTGACCTAAATTTAAGGCTATAGAAGGTGACAAACCATATCTGTCCTAGCACCATGGGGGGCAACCCAGATTTAAGGAAAAAAATTCTCGCTTGTTCACCTACAAAATTAAAAAAATTGGATGAGCCTACCCGTTATAAACCCATTTACAGGTTTAAGAAACTGAAATTGTGCATCATGCTTCATGCGATCGTCTGTTGTAATAAACCACGAATCCCAAACGCCTGAAAGCAAAGTAAAAGGTTAGATTTAAATATTAGATTCTGAGTGTGGTTTATAAGAAATAAAATAGGTACAGGAGAAGAATATGATAGTGTATATATTTTCTAAACCCTTGAATATCGGTTAATTCAGAAATATTATACTAAATAAACCAGCC